GAGTCTACATATATAAATCTACATTTTTATCTTCTTTGCCTCTATCCCAGCTCCTAAAGCCTACACAGTGCTTGTGTATTCCTAGCACCACACTCAGACTTCATGCTGTTAATGAATTGATGATTGGTTTTCTCATCCCCCACTCAATTTCATCTATCTATTAGCATTTACCTGTTAGTCTGGGGTAAAACATCCACACCTCTGCTCCTTAGCTTTCAACCAGGAGAGGAGTTTATATGGTTAGGTCTCAATACATGTTATATATCCACCATTGTCATTGTTATTAGACAGAGCGTACAAGTGTTAACCCAATAACCACAATTAAGAGTGTAAAATTACACCTCAAGATAAAAAAGTGAACAGTATTTCACAAGAGCACAGAGCAAGGAACATGGCCCAGCCAGGGGCAGTCAGGGCAGATGTGTGGCCATGTCTGTGGTTGTATCAGGGATGGCTTCACAGAGGACATGATGCTTGAGCTAAAATGAGAAAGATGACCTGTCAATTATATTTTGATTCCTAGGGGATTTCTTTAAATGGAATTAAATTGTGTTATCAATTCAGGGAATTGACATAATTCAAGGAATTGATAAGTCCAAGTGAGGTCAGGTCTCAGGCACGGCTGGATCCAGGAACTTTGTCTCTCCATCTACTGACTGCTGTCTACTACATTGGCTTAATCCTCTGAAAGTCTTCAGAATTCTCATAAAGTCCAAGAGCAGCCCCTGGCTCACTTGCTACCATGTTTTCTACCCTAGCACAAGGGCTTCTCATTACCAGTAGTTTAACACAAGTACCAGAAATCAGATCTTTTTACTTAGATGGATCAAATGTTTTTCTCCAAATGATTTGCTAAGACTGGAGGGATAAAATGCCCTGGGTGACTGGATCTCGGCTCTGTGTTCTCACTTGGGGAAATGGCTGATTGAGTGGGAGAGAGGGTCCTGCTAAGACAAGGCAGAGAAGTTGGTACTGAAGAGAGAAATGGATTGTGGCAGGCAAAGCAGTAGCATATAGTGTCAGTAGGGATGAACATTCAATACATTCAATACAGAGGCCAAGCAGAACAGCAAAGAACAGTGAACAGCTTTCATTTCACCTCTCTCTCTCTCTCTCTCTGTCTTTCTGTCTCTCTGCCTTCATTACCTTAAGTGTATTTTCAACTGAGGGTTGTGACCTTTGAATGATTGTAGAAAAAGACGTGCCAGATCTGGTCATCTTTGAGCACCCTGGAAAATGTACATTTGCATATGCTCCACGTCTTCAAGCCATGACAGTGACTGAAGCCCTTCTCTTGCAGTACCTGTTCAGTTCCATGTTTTATTTCAGGGATATTTTATATCCATGGGATACTAACTGTGTTCAGCAAATCAGCTCAAAAAGGCTTTAAAAGAGAGAGAGAGAAACTAATTAATTCTGTAACTAAGAAATTTTTTCCTAGACTCCAATAAATTGCTGACTGTAAGCTTCATTTTCTAGTGTGATGAGGCTTTATGTTTTTTGTGCTGTCATGAATATTTGCATTGAGACCCATGGGAGGCTTTTTTACAGAAACTGAAGATAATAGGTGGATAGCATTTTATTCCGAATGCTTACACAAGCTATAGTAGCTAATTGGCCAACCCTTGCTGACCAATTGGATGTGGGGGTCACTGCAGTGACACTTGTTCTGGTCCTGCGCGACGCTGGCAGAACTACCATTCGTCTTGTGTTGGAAAGAGGAGGGTGAGCAGTTAGAGGAACTCAAGGCTTTTCATGTCTCCCTTGCCCTGTAAGTCTCTATCTCCACTCTTCTATATTTAAGAGAATTTGTGAAACAATGGCCACTGAATTTGACCTCTGGATGAATGAGTCATACCTTGTGTGACAGCTCTCTTCATTTGCCACCGGTGAGAAAAAAGAAAAAATAATTCCGAAACAAAAATAATGTTACATGTCAAATTATTATGCAAACAATAAGAAAGCCTATATAAAAATGTTGTGGGGTACAGTAATTACTAATTTTTCAGAAAGGCATACCATGCGTTTAAAACACAGAGATCCCTTCAAAGAATGCAGCATCTGTCAGATCCAAGAAATTGCTTAAGAGATGGCATTAAAGAGCCAAAGTTCAAGATGTGCTTCATGGAACCATTAATGATGCCATTTGATAGCAAAAGGGAAGACTCTGTAGGTAGAAATGGTCAATTCACTTAGCTGGATCCAATGTCAGATCTGCATCAGAGGCAATGTGGAACTCCCTTGAGTATATGATCTGATATTATTATAAACATTTGTTGCACCTGGTCAGAGGAGGAACCATAGAAACAGTTATAGTCTGCTGTCTCTTTTCCATCCATACTGTCTCATTTCCATCCATACTGCATTGTAGTTGTAGTGGTAACGCAAACTAAGGCTCACTGAATGTGTGTGGATACTATATGCCAGGCCCTGGCCAAAAGAATATTCGTAACTACCCATGTAAGAGACAAAAAAAAAAAATCTGGAGAAATATCATTATACCTATTATATGGGGGAAAAGAACACTAAAAGCTCAAAGAAAAATGTTAATTTTCCCTACAGTAAATAGATAGGCAGGTAGGTAGATAGATATACATGGACAGATACATAGATACATAGCAAGAATAAATGGAGCAGTATAAGTTTGACAATTAAATGGAAAATTAAATATAATGCAAGTAAAAAAATTAAAATCAAAGAAACTAAGAACAAACATGGTGTAAAATGTTACTATGACAGATTTATTAGAAACTTATATTAGACCCCTGAAAATATACCCAAAGTTTTAAATTTTTTTCTTTTTCTTTCTTTTTTTTTCTTTCTTTCTTTCTTTCTTTCTTTTCTTTCTTTTTCTTTCTTTCTTTCTCTTCCTTCCTTCCTTTCTTGCTTTCTTTCTTTTTCTTTCTCTCTTTCTACTTTTGCTATTGGCTCTACAACATTCAACCTTGATGACGGATGAGTAAAACAAAAGAAAAGTCACAGGCACCTTGCTCATTGTTGCTGCAATGGAGCAGATTGCTCCTCGTGTTAGCCAAGCCATGGTATATTCTCCTGTGTAACCCTATTGGGCCACATTTTGTCTATCAATAGCAATATCCAAGCTTCTAAAATATCAAACATCCACTGTATTCAAGAAGCAAATAACTGATCCAAAGCGTAATGCAAATAATGACTGAATCAGATATCCCTGGGAAGCAATTAGTTTTAAATAGCCATAGTTATTTTGATTACATGGACATTTAGGTTCTCTCCTTGCCATGTTTGGCTTCAAAGGAGAACTGTTAGGATCAAAAGAAAAATGGAGTATTGGTTTCATGACAAAATAAAAGAGATTTTAGCAATATAGGAAATAGAGTGAAACCGGAATTATTTTAGCATCTTAGACTTACCTGGAAGGTACGTGAAGATATCACTGCTTATTTTAATAATTGAAGAGAGGCTCTAGTTTTTGTTTCTTTTGTTTCATTTTTCTTTTATGTTTGCCTAGGGGACAATGACTTACAAATATTAGCAATACCTACAGTGAACTTGAATACTGCATGGACTTGTACTAATGAGAAATTTCAAAATATTCCGGTTTTTTTCTATCTGTCAAATGCATTTAATAATCTCCTGTGACCTGCAATCCCAGGGAATAACTTCTTGCACTATTCTAAGCAGTAAGGCATCATGAAGAACGGTTCAAAAGAAGCTATACAAATTAGATTACACACTTAATTTTCATTACAAAACTCTGAAACCGGTTTTTAGTTTCCAAAACGCAGGCTGAGAATTCCCCACCATATCCCCTGTATCATACACTGAGCCACTCTTTTTCTTTCTTTTCTCTTCCCTTCCCTCTGCTCAGACACATCTCTTTTCACCATGCTCTCTCTCTCTCTCATACTTTTTTCCTTTCCTTTTAATCTTCCATGATTCGTCCTTCACTGCCACTTTAATAAAGACTATTATATATGATTTATATATAATTTATCTATATTTAATACTTTGGTTTTATTTATGAATAAATATCTGGTTCTCATTTTTATTTCAAATATTAGGTGAGTTGCGAATCTTATTTTTCTAGTGAAACAATTCAATATCATTAGAATTTGTGTGAATGTGTAAGAGAAAGACAGAGAACCTAATGACTTTGTTTGGGGGTTTTATTTTCAGCCTATCTATGTAAGTGGCCCATTGGCCCATTTCCCAAGGCAAATGGAAAAGTGGACTAGTGCAAAAGGAGAAAGAGGATGAAGTAGCAGGAGAAGGAGAAAGAGAGGAGGAGGAGGAGAGGGAGACAAAGAGAAAGATTAGAACCTTTATTTTTACATTAGAATGCACAGAATTATCACCTGCATCTTATACCAGCATTGTAAAAATATGTTAGATTGTAACAGATCTGGAGACTGCTCTGGCCTCCTATTGCCAATTACGTTCTGTTGAGGCTGGTGACAGCCTGATCGGTGTTTTCACGGATTTTCTCTGCATTTGAAATCTCCCATCTTTATTTTTTACTTTTCTGCTTAGATATGAAGAATATTTTTATTTACTTTAGGATTTAAATTATGCTGTAAGCCACCATGTATTGGAACTATGAGGAACATTAATCAGCAGGATATGTATTTAACACATATATTGAGATTAAATAATACTTGATCCATTAATGCTAATTTCTCAAAATATGGTAAAGTTTCAATTCATGTTCCAATGCAAAAGCAATCATATTACAACTAAATGAGAGTAAATGCTTTTTGTGTGCTATTAAATAATTATCTACATTTAAAAAATTTTTAGGAAGCACCACTTCCTAAGTTTTAAAATCTCACATTGCATTTTATATTAGGTAAAATCTAATTTATGATGTTTTATAATAGAACTTTTTTGGTATATACAAAATCTTTTGGTATAAGACAAAAAAATGTTTTTATTCCGAGCAAGTCATTAAAATTATGTATCTTATACATACTGACAGCTATCTTAATCCTATTTAATACAAGACACAATTCGAGAAGTACCACTAAAAGAATGATTGCCTTTTTATTCCAGTATTCCACTAAATCAAACCGTCAGTTAATTCCAATGTATGAAATTTGATGACAATTCATCCCACTTTGGGTTGTATACTTCTCTGGAAAGGTCACTGGTTGGGAAGTTTGGCTCAGTCACCTCCCAGCATGTAGATGGTGAGGTCAAATTTCTTAGTGCTCCCACTGGTTCCTAAAGCCTCCTATTATTTCAGGGCTGTGGTTCCTTCAGTGCTGGTCTCAGTCCCACTGGAGACAAAATGACAGGCTCTGCCCTCCCACAGCTGGTTTCCTCCTGCGCATGTGTGAGTTGTCTGGTCATGGCCTTCCTATGGCCGTGCCACTTCTTTTATGGCACTCTTCTCCCTTCTCAATCCTTTAGTCATATCCTTTGCATGTTACCAAAAACAACATTTTCCAAATGCCTCTTCTTGAACTTTGAGGAGGTCAATAGTCTCCAGCTCTGTTCACCCCTCTTCTCATTGTCTATAATAACTGCAATCATTAACACAAATGGAGAGTTTAGGACATGCCAGTTGCTGAGTGAGGTGCTTCATAAATCTATGAGTCCGGTGGGTTTGTTATCACCCCCCACCACCACCACCACCCGTTACTGGAGGTTGAACCCAGGGCCTTTGCACTGAGTTACATCTCGAGCCCTCTCCGCCACTCTTTGTGAGACAAAGTCTAGATAAGTTGATAACTTGCCCAGGCTGGGCTCAAACTTGTGATCTTCTTGCCTTAGTCTCCCAGAGTGTTATTTCGCCTTAAAAAATAATAACACTCAGCCTTAGAACAGGCTAAAGTCATGTGGTTTAAAGTAGATTCCCATAGAGCTGGGCAGCGCTAGGATTTATTCTCAGAAACAGGATTTCTGAATTATTTTCTTAACCAAACCCTTCACAGCAGTCAACTAAAAGCATTGCTTCTAATTAAAAATGCTTTTGATGATAATAATAATAATTAGGGTATGGAAATGGTTGTGAAAAGTCTTTGAATACTAATAAACATTCTACCAATGCAAGGTATAAGGAAATAGTAATTTATAGGTTACAAACTCTTTTATATCATGTCATTTGATTCACTGACAGGAAATTATGCTGATTATTCTAATAATATGATTAATTGAGGACATTGGGCTATCAATTTCAAAGAGTTAGAAAAACATTGTGCCCCAACTCAGGGCTACTTTAATAGAATTTACTCTCTCCTTGATCCATAAAGAAGACCTTACATGAGCATCTTACAAGTCATGAGTTTGAAATCTATGAAACTGTATTATTGTACAATAAACAAACATTAATTAGGCAGCACCAGTAAACAGACAGAAAGAATAAGAACAAGCTTTCACTATTAAAGCATTACTATTGATTTTTATAAACACCAAAATAATATCCCTTTTAGGCCCATTACACAGGTAATAATAACCATTCATTTAATTAGTACTGACTCACAGTGAAATATTCAATCTGAGTACTTATAACACCCACATTAATATCAAGAAGGTTCATTAGAATTAATACCACAATAAATATAAAATGAATTAGTAATGATTACACCATTATTTTAAAGCATTCCTATTTGTACTCCTGTATTTACTTTAATCACCATCACTCTAAATAGCAATTAACAAAAGCCAGGCTGGGCATATTTATGTAGAAATAACAAGGCATATAAATGCAACCCAGTACAAACCACACACACTTTATCTACGTTCATGTATCAATATATCCAACAGAATGAGAGGTTACTAAAATCAGACACACTCTTTATAGCATTAGCAAGGGAAATTAAAACCATTCTGTAATTTGAGTTCTTGGTTTCAGATTGTTCTGAATAGCCATGTTCTGACTAAAGACACTAGAAGAGGGCCTGGCACTGAGTAGGAACACCATAAGTATTTGTTAAATCATTTGCCTGCCTCCATGATACATACTTGTGTGGAAACATTACTGGTTATACTTGAGCATCTTTAATTTTAACTTCTATTATTACAATGAACTTGTTGATGACTATCTACATATACAACCAACCCTGGACAGAATTTATTTAATAGGTGATAAACTGTTTCTGTCAACTTCCAATATACTTATGTGGACAAAGAATTTCATAAATTATTTTTTTAGATGGGTTGAAAGGAAGGAAAAATTAAGATGATGCTACAATGTCCTTTTTAATTTCTTACACTTGCTCTATCCTCATTCTTTATGGCCAAGTCATTATCTTTCAGAACATTGCTGTTGTTTGGCTCAGTAGTAGTAAGTCTAATAAAACGAGGCAAAGAAGAAAAGAAAGAACAAAGCTTTCTTCCATTCTTGCTAATGATGAATGTTTCCACACCGTCTCTTATAGAATCATAAGTGCTAATCACAGTTGGGCTGGAGAAAGTTGTGGGGAGTTAAAAATAATTAAGTTGCTCTTTAAAATATCATCTGTATTTGCTCTTAAATTCTCAGTAGGCAAAACCTGCCTTTCATGAATTATTTACAGTGTGATAACAGGGAAATTCCTTCAAAACAATGTCAATGAGCCATCCTGGAGGAGGAGTGAGGTGTGCTTTGAATGGATGGGAGAGGATGCTTCTATTTGGAGAGGAGGTTCTATCTGACATTCATATGTTGTTTGATGATACTGTACTGGCATAGTTCTGCTTCATGCTTGTCCCTAAATCATCTGCTTGCTCTTCGTTGCTTTAGTTTTTTGTTCTCTCCACCCAGGTGATTATTTGTATAGCAGAGGAGCTCAAGATTTGCTGACTGTGAAAAGAAGACTATTTTAAGACATGGCAAGTCCTGAAAACCAGAGAAACAATGAGCTAACATTTATTCTAAAGGTGAACATTAAATTCAGGTAAAGAAACAAAACACAATTTATTATCCTATTGATCACTAAAAGACTAACGCCTTCCCCTTTCCTACAGACATTTCTCCAATAAGCTTTGTACATACCACAGCAACAATCTGTAGCCCACTCACCAAAGTGTCAATAACATAGTGCTAATTACCACAGTATGTGACCAGGAAATGGGACCTTGAATAAAGTGGGAAATATAGTGCAGAGCTTAGCATAAAGCCACATCAGGGTCTTTTTCACTTCTGGCTCTTCTGTACTTTGAAAAATATGAGAGAAAGACAATCCCAAGAAGTGAAGAAGTAGGTATAGGGGTTCCTGCCTTTCCATTCTCTGTTTATATCTCCAGGATAAGCTGAGTCAATGCTTTACTTTGTCCTGAGAAGAATGTACTATCTTTTGAACACCATTTTGCACCAGAACTTTTATGCAAATTTCTTCCTGTAACCCTTATAATGCCTCTATAATATTGGCCAGTATAGGATACCCATTTGTAGGTAAGATTCTACATAAATAATTTGATAAACAGATTACATTACATTGTCCCTAGGAGAAATAAGTTTTCAGTTAAGATTCTCCCTTTATAAAGCTCTTTTTATTTAGTCATGAAGCTATATAACTTAGAAAAGTTCACAAATTCAAAACAGAAGACTAAGTAGTGCAGATGATGATAACACACGTCACCACCACTAATCACACAAAGCTTCCTTTACAAGCACCTGTGGAAGGTCATTTGTAATTGCACTGGATACAAGTTCCTAGACAACAGAAGTTTCTCTTCATCCTTGTAATATCCAATGAATACATGTTATTTGACTCCGAGTCTAAATACAGAATGTTGTTCTAGGTACGCTAAATGTTTTATAGTTTTAGCTCTAACATGTGACAACTCGAGCCTTTCTCTGTCATTTTAGATCAAGCTATTGCTTCTCTTCAATTTGCATGATCACTTTGGAGAGCACTCTTGGAGATCATAAAAGGTTCTGGACACAATGCCACCATCTGCCCTGGACTGTAGCATGGTAGATGAGAGAGAGAGGAAAGTGGACGGATGACACTGTTAATAGATGATGCTTTAGTTAAAATAAACTTGAGAGAAAGAACATGTAAGAAGAAATCAAGGAAAGTAGAAGATTAATAATAATAATAATAATAATATCTAATCTTCTAGGACTATCTATGCAGACACAGTGCTAAAAGCTTCATTCACATTACCTAATTAAATATCACAATACTCCCCTAATTTAATGACCAGTGAGAAATGACCAGTGAGAAATCTGAGGTTCAAAGGTTAGTGTCTAACCCAAACTGGCTAGTAGATGACAAAGTTCACCCTTGAACACAGGATGTCTGATTCTAGTGCTTGTTCACTTAATCATCATGTCAGGGAAAAAAGGGATAAAGAGAACATGCAACTACTTCATGGGAAAACCAAATAGGAGCTGTGCTCCTAATGCCGCTGATAGGATTTAGAGTTGGAGTCCAATATTCAAGGTGAGCCTGGTTTCCTGTGGCAGAGAGGCCACCCAGGCAATTGTTCTCTCAGCTGTTATTTGCAGTCATTCTGGTTGACCCTCCCTCTCTTTCTCTCCCATCCTCCATCCGATCTGACAATACACATTAGTGCAGAAGGAATTCTGGCTTTGGAGCAAACATCTATAGCACACTTGTTATTGAAGTATAATATGCCCAGAGAAAAGAAAACAAATAATTGGCGTTTAGTTCAATGAATTTTCACAGAGTGAGCACATGCTTGTCTAACCATACTGTGTGGCACCTGTGTATCCAAGAAACAAAATATTACCAGCCATCAGCAGGCCTGTTCAACTCCAACCACTATTCCCCTAAGGTGTATTTACTAAAATGACTTCTAAATCTATAGATTACTTTTGTCCAATTTTCAAAATTCATATAAATGGAACCACAGAGTATAAATATTTTGTGTCTAGCGTCTTTTATTTATCATTTTTTCATTTAACATTTTGTTTGAAAGCTCGAATGACAAGCTGTAGTAACGAGCAATAGTTTATTCTATTTGCTATGTTGGATCCATTCCATACATATGCCATGATTTATTCATCCAATACACTGTTGAACGCAAGAATACTTGTGTTCTTTGCAATGTTTGGTGCAAACTAGACAGAAATCTTAGAGCTTAGAAATCCAAAGTGGGCAGTTTGGTAAGAAACCAAGAATCCTAAATGGCTATTCTCTCAGTAAAAGAATGAATAAAAAATAAGCTTCTTTTATGGAAGGAACAGCAAAAATATTGCCTATGCAGACCTTGGCATTGGATGATCAGAAAAATAAATACAATCACTTAGAACTTGTGAACACAGTTGGGTTTTTTGTATCTTTATGATCTAAATTCATACTATCTGGGTAATGTTCTCTAGGGGAACACAACTTCAATTCAGAATCAAAGTATTTCCATACATTAAAGAACTGGGCTTATAGTCAAGAGCAATAGAACTTCTCAAGGATAGGAAGTCTCATAAGGCATAGTTTGTGAATAGTTTCTCTTCCCTTCCTTTAACATTTAAAAATATGCAAGATCACACATCAAAGCATAGAACAAAGACTTTTTAAAGACCATGCAGATTTTTAAAAAAGACCTACCTAAGACTAAGCATATAAAAGCAGAAATTTAAAATTCTATGGGCAGTTGGGGAAAAAAGACTGGACAGAGCTGGAGAGATGATTTATTAACAGAATATTTAACTTGAGTAATTACACAGATTATAATCCAGAAAAACAAACAGATGGAAAATTTTAAAGAGAGATGAAAAGATATAGAGGATTTAGAAAGGAAGTAACGTATCTAGTTGGTGTTTCAGAAAGTACTAATGCAAATTGGGAAAAGGAAATATTAAGAGAAGAATGTTACTAACCTGATAGGCAAGAACAATTTTAAGATTAGGGAAGCCCAACACATTCAGACAGGATAAATAAGTAACGAAGACGCAAACCTATTACAATGACATTGCATAAAAGCAAAGGCAAAGTGAACATTTTAAAGACAGTAATGGGTTAAAAATAATATGGCTACCCAGAATGGCAGTTAAACTGACAGCTGACATCCTGACATCAATGGCAGAAACTAGAACCCCATGAGGTGATATTTTCAAGTATATTATGAAAGCTTATGGCATACCTGGAATTCTATACTTTGACAATCTTTTAAAACACTGACTAAATAAAATTACTTTCTGAAAAACAACTGAGTTTACCACTAACAGACTCTCACTAGAGCAAATTTTATGTACTATATTTTGATCTGAAGACATTTGTCTCCAGTATAAAACACAAGCTACAAAAAAAGTATGAAAAAAGAGGTATGTAAATATTTAAGTAATAAACACTGATTGCATACAAAATTTATAATAATTCCTAATGAATAGAATTAAGAAAAATAAAATATAATCAAAACTAGACAATTATCTATCAATTAAGAAGGGATAAAAAAAAGAAGGGATGCTCATTAAAGATTATAAAATCATATTATTTGACTAGAGAATAAAAAATTTATGTTGATTTAAATATAGTCATGTCAAAATATGTACCTTTACACACTGAAGAATTAGTATAAAGCTAATCTTTAAGTTAAAAAAGAAAATAAACTATGTATTATATTTATATTAGAGTCAAGATACAGATCTGAAAAATAATGCCTACCAATTTATAAAAGATTTTTTGTAAGAAAGTATAAAAATTAGAAAGATTTAAAAGATTTAAATAAATGAGAAATGCCACATTAATGACAAGAGTATAATATAGATTTAAAGCAATTGCAATAAAAACCTTAAGAGCTGTGCATGAAACTTATTAAAATAATTCTAAAATGCTTAATAAAGATTTTTATAAACCAAGAATAGCTGTTTATTAGTGGTGAAGACTTTTTATAAAGTCATAGTAAATAAGACGGTTTGGTGATTATTTAATTGATAAATACAGAAAATAAACAGAATAATGAACCCAGAAAGAGATCCCCTTAAATATGAAACTCTTCAATACAGAGCTTTAACTGCAAATTAATGAAGACATAACTGAAACAATTGATGAAAATTATAAAATTAAATCTGTAATATCATATCCAAAAGTCAATATCAGTGTGACATATATATATGTCCCATATACATATATATACACACATATATATTTCAGAGAGAAATAGAAGAGAGAAGCTTTTTTGTCTATGACTTGTACTCTGAGTAACATTTTGGCCATTATTTTAAGATTATGATACCCAGTGTATTAACCATTGTTATTCTCTCTTTTGTTATGAAATTTTGTTTTATCTTACAGAAGAGTGCATTTTTAAATTTTTATTAATATTCATTTGTATTGTTCTAAAATAAAAAATAAAAATGTGCATTGCAGAAAATATAGAAAGAAAGAAAGAAAAAAGAAATAGAGACAAGTATTTTAATGAGACTAGGGATATGGGAGCAGTTCATTACAAACCAGAAAAGAAAATACAAATCAGAAATCAGAAAAGAAAAATCTAAGATTTAGATTATGTGAAAAAATAACTTCCATTAATTATAAGAAGAAAGTAAAGATATGCCACAAGTGGATGGAAGACATCTCTAATGTTTTTAACTTGTAAACATTATTAACTAGACAAATAATTACTCTGAATCTGTATTAATTTTTTTTAAAAACTGGGGGTGTAGCTCAGTGGTGTGGCACCTGCCTGGCAAGCACAAGGTCCTAAGTTCAAACACCAATACCAAAAAAATAAAACTAAAAAATAAAAATACAAAAAGCTCCCCTCAGAAACAAGTAAAAATTATGAACAAGCATTTTGTCAGAGAGGAGAAACAAAAAGTCTGTTTGCTTGTTTTTTTAAGATTCCCAACCTTATTAAGTATCACAAGAATGCACATTACAACCACAATGAGATTCCATTTCCCACAAATCAGATTGGTAGGATTAGAAAGACCGGGAGCATTACAAGTCACCAGCTATGCAGATAAATGGTATGTAGCTGAAGGAGACATATATTGGAAAAATTGCATTAGGGCATTTTATATCATTCAGTAAATGTTGCTATACACAACCCTTAAAGACCAGCAACTTCACTCAAGTAAAATTAACTTTTAGAGAAATTCTTGCAAATGTAAACTTCAGCATGTTAAAGAACATTCATTACCACATTATTTATTCTTTGCCAAAAGTTGAGAACCAGCTCAATTGTCCATTTACATTATATTAATAAATTTGAATTACCCTTACACTAAACCAGTATAGTCATGAGGATAAACAATGCGTAAAATTAATATAATTCAAAACACAGTGTTACAGAAGAATGCATATTACAGATAGTGAGTTAATTTATATACAACTCAATAAAATTAAACTTAAAATACTCCTATATACACTCATAAATGGATTTCCGTAAAAACAAAGGAAGAAGATACTTAGAAAAATTACTTTTTTCTAGGGAGTACAAAGACAATGAACAATAAGGAGAAAAAAAATTATGATTTAGGTCTCAAAATTCCTCAGAGCATTCTATTTCATAAGTTGTGTTTTGGATACACAGATGCTAATTTTATTTTTGAAAAACTGTCTAGAATTGTATATATGTTTTCTATTGTGCTTGCTTCAGCAGCACATATACTAGAATTGTATATATGTTTTCTATTTAGGGTTTTAAAAAGGATTTTGCATTGATAGGACAAGAGAAAATGGAAACAAGGTCTATGAATGAATGAACTACATGTAAATATGAGAAACACTATGAATATGAGAATTACTAATTATTAACCTAATCATTGGCTGTATCAGTCAGTGTTTGCCAGAAAAAAACATATAATAAAAGATACACAAGTATATAAGAATTTGCAAGATTGGCTTACCATGGCAGCCCACAGAATCAGATGAAGAAGAGTGCAGAGGGTCTGTCTGCACACTGGAGACCACCGAAGGATCTAGCCGAAGGTCTGGGGCTCCCTGCAATGTCCCGTGGGAGTCTGTATCAGGAAGCCGATGGGTCTTCGCTGGAAGGCTGAAGGATCTGCTCCATATGCTGAAGAGTCCATGCTAGAGCCAGGAGATGATGTCCAAGGTGAAGGCAAAGTCTGGAGCTCCTCCAAAGAAACAGATGCATATCCGTCCTTCTTCATTTCCCCTTTACACCATCCAGGTGACCAGCACCCTAGAGTGGGTCCTCCACACCCTAGGGTGTGTAATTGCTGAGCCAATGTAGTTAAACTTCTCTTACTCAAGTTGACACAATCAATCAATCATCATATGGCAAAGAAGACTTCTTTATCCATGAACATTACATAAAGAAAATGAAGATGTAGAAAGTTACTCTGACACTGTAGAAATAAAAGCATGTCATCCCCTGAGATATTTTAACTTTCTTTTTTATTGTTCTTAGATGACTTTATGGTACTTTAAAAATGACACAGGCTTTTTTTTTTTTTTTTTTTTTGGACTGAGGATGAAACTCGAGACCTTCCACTTCCAAGGCAGGTGGCGGCACCACTGAGCTAAATACCCAGCCTAACACATGCTTATTATTTGAAATTCAAAAATCCTATGAGCCACAAAATGTTAACTAAAAAAAGAAGTAGTGTTAGACAAGTATATCACCACTCCAAAATAATCACTGTTAACATAGAATGATCATACATACTGAGGGAAAAATTAGGACTTAGAACAAGATGAAATTATATATGCTACTTTTAAATTAAATCCCATTGTAATTAATTTTACATGAGTTTAGCAGAAAAAATGAAGCTAAAGTGAATCACACAGTGATGCTAAAATGCCTCTTCAGTCTCCTTCCTGCCTCACCTTACCACTTGATCTCTCAACTCTCGTTACGTTTTTACAGGATAAAATATATTTATTCCTTTATTTTCACTTTGTAATCAATATTCATATTTTATAGAACCATTTATTATGCTCATTCTCACACTTACCATAAGAAAGCATAACTTTACATAGGTCTTTCAAGGGGGGTTCTAAAAGTCTAGGAAATGCAAATGATATTTTCCCAATAAATTTTTCTGTTTCCAGACATTTTGACAGTGTGTACAATGGCAAAGTATGACAGAATCTCCACAATTTTTTTTCTTATTGACCTTATCTGGCTAATTATCTTCTCTTCTGAATTATGTATTGGCAATTGGGCATTGACAAAGTGAGAGACAGTGGTGTGTGTGCTTGCCTCTGTGTGTGTGACGGTGCCTGCACACACATGTGAGGCATAAGGTGGAAGGAGAAAGCAATAGAAAATTTATCTCCTCCCCACCTCCTGTCACTTGACCTATAATAAGACCAACTCCACGTTGTTTGAGAATAACCCAATCCCAAGAAACACACTAGATATTGTTATCAATAACTTATTAAAAATGGATTTTGTGACAATCGAAGATGTTCATGAAATTTTATTTTTTAATTATATATACTAAAAACAACATTGGTTAATAATTTGATATTAAATTCTATGTTAAATTTATCCATTTTCCTTCAGGCAGGAAAGAGAGTTGTTTTGTCTGAAGAAATTCTTAAAATCTTAAGAAGGAATAGAAGCAGTATTCTAAACATGAGTCCAAAATCACTAATATAAACTACCTTTTCTTGGAGAGTAAGACTAATTCTTCATTACAGAGCTCAATAGACTTTCTCTTGGAGGTGACTATAGTGGCCTGTAAGTCCCACTCCAAATCTCCTATTCCTTTAACATATTTAGAGATGATACTTAAAATTCTGAATTTTCTATAAGTGAAATTAGAATTCTCTTTCCAATTCACAAAACTGTCCATCTTCTGAAAGTAGGTTTGGTTCAGGATGAGGAAGCATCCACAGCACTTGGCACTTGAATGGAAGAATCCTCTGAGGGTACAAGAGCATCTGAGGACTTATGTGACAATTGACAGCTGTTCCACAAATTGGCCTAAGAAAGGTCTTTCCTTCCTAAAAATTTATTTCCTAGTGGCAACTATGCCTGTGTAGGACATAGCCAATCAATGAATTTCAGCTGTCATCATGATTGACACAGATCGCTGAACAATCAG